CTTTAATGTTACAGGATACACTTGAAGAGTAATTATCCCAAGGTACATTTGTTCCTCATAGATGGATGCATATCTTGGCCACTGCTATTGGAAAGGCTGACCACCCGGCAGTGTCAGAAGGGCCCCTAAAGGGATTGTCATTAAATAGTTCTTTGGCCCTGGTTCACGAAGAAGCACTGGATCATCCTCCATTAACATGGTATCTAAAGAGAAGCCCGACCAACAATTACAGGAAGAAATAGAGAGAGTTCAAGCTCAATTGAGTCAAGAACATAAGGCAGAGATACAAAAGATACGTGAGGAGTTCGATGCTAAGTTTCAACAGGCTATGATGATGATGGGCACGACTAAATTCCAAATGCGCTGAGTGTCTAAACTGTCACAAGTAATAATCACACATCTTCTCAAATCTTCTAAAGGTTCATTTCATCCATTTAACTTATTTAATGTGCCTTAAGTAATTTTTTTTTTATGTTTCAGGGTTCACCTATGATGAAAAGTGGGATGGGCAGTAATAATCATGCACAACAGCTGACATTGTCTGACCCTGACCCTGGCCCTGGCCCTGACCTTATCCAAGACATTGAAATGCCGTGTACTCTCTATGTGGACTTTGAAGATTTAGCTTTTTATGTCGCTAATGGTTGAGTATCCTCAAGCACAATGATCCACAACAAGAAAGTTTTGAAGGATCAAGTGAGGGTGACGTTGGATAAGATCCATAATGGTCAAGGTGAGATACCAGTACCCAACCCTATTGAGGAGGTACGACTATTGGTTTAGGTTAAAGGAAATTTCATTTTGTGGCCAAAGAGACTTGTCGGAAAGCCTGTACCATCCAAAAAGGGCGTCAGGGATAAAGGCGACAAGGAGTGCAGATCCTGTTGTCCAGCCTCTTCTTGCTAACGTTGGGGTTATGTATGAAAGTTTGGCGCTTCTTAATTCCATGGTGGAAAATATGGAGAGCCCCTTTACTTTTAATATGCTGCTAGGAATTGTGGGTTCAAATGTGACATACCACTTCACCATTAACAAGAAGAACCTTGTCCAGTTCCTCAACTTTGAGAAGCTGGATATAATCTTTATATAGTTGGCTATTTTGTAAGTTACAAGATCATTTTCTTGTTTCATGTTATACTTATGCATATCCTAATGTTTCTTATTTGAACAACAGGCAAATTTACTTGAGTTTGTCAGTAGAGAGGACTTGAGGGCATGTATGGCTTTATGTGTCCTCAAAAGGTGAAAAAAGAAGATAATATTATGGAAGCGAGGTCAATCTACATGATGACCACAATGACCCGGTCGAAAAAGAAAATATATTTTGTGCCTTACGTGGAAGGGTAAATATATTATTGTATTTGAGATACACAAGTTATGTATATAGGATTATAATTAACATGGTTCGTATTTTACAGTTATTATTGTACCCTAATTGTTTGTGCCCCTTTTGATAAGAAAGTCTATTGGTTTGATTCCCTTCGTGGAAGTCCAACCGAAGAAACTAGAGATATCATTGATACGTTAGTTTATATTTATATATGTATTATGTGTAAAGTTTATACCACAATGACCCGGTCGAAAAAGAAAATATATTTTGCGCCTTACGTGGAAGGGTAAATATATTATTGTATTTGAGATACACAAGTTATGTATATAGGATTATAATTAACATGGTTCGTATTTTGTAGTTATTATTGTACCCTAATTGTTTGTGCCCCTTTTGATAAGAAAGTCTATTGGTTTGATTCCCTTCGTGGAAGTCCAACCGAAGAAACTAGAGATATCATTGATACGTTAGTTTATATTTATATATGTATTATGTGTAAAGTTTATAAAAATGTGTTCTAATATCATTTTTTTTATTGCTGATAGGGCTTTTAAGCAGCAAAATAGGCAACCACCAATATGGATTCTCCTACAAGTATTTTGTTTTGAGCTAAATATATGCTTATAAATCTTTTCAATAATCAAAGTTAATGTTTATAATTTTTTTTATATAATTAAAGTCTGATATTTAATTTTATATTTCATTTTGTTAGTACCATTGTCAACCTGGGAGTGTTGAATGCATATATTATGTTATTTGCTATATGAATGACATCATTAAGACAAGAATGACTGAGAAATTAAATGAGGTAAATATAGGTTACGTACATTGCATGTAATCTTTCAATTCTTTTCACATTTTTGATCAAGTTGACTAATGACTATATTGTTTTTGATTTACAAGCATTCCAAAATGCTGTGCCATATGGCATGGAGGAAATCAACTTGATGAGAGATACTTTGTCAACAACATTGCTAGAGAATTTTGAAAATGTGAAATAGTTAGGTCATTCCTCATGTTTTAATTTATTGTTTGATTGTTAACTAGTTGATTATTTGCTGATATATTAGGTGATTTAAAAAGATATGGATGTTAGTGATCATATGGTCATCTTGAAATTGATCTGCATATTCTTCTACTTTGCTGGTTAATTGGGTATGTAAATTGCAGGGAGGTAGTAAAAGAAATTCACCTAGTATTTAAAAAAAAAAAGAGCTTTTAATAGTTGTTATTTGTATAATTGCCGTTAAAAACATTTATCATGGCAGTTATAGTGGAAAATCAATTTTTCACGGCATTTACAACTGCCGTGTTTTATTCTCCTTTCAACATCAAGAGGATCTACTTCGCCTCCAAAACTGTCATGAAAAACCTTAATTAACCACTGCTAAAAGCTTTTTTTCTGGTAGTGATATTGATGTTTTAACATGAGGCAAAAGATGTTCTAGTTCGAATGGAGTGCATATCTCATACGATATCTTATTGTATATTATTGTATTTTGGCATCCCTCATCATTTAATTTCTTCATAAAGTTTAAAATTTAATTTCTGATGAGATATTTTTTAATACAAAAAAAAATTATTGGCATTTGGTGTAAGGTAAGCATTGAAATATACTATAAATATCTATCCATTTATAATTATAACGTACTAATTACTATGACATATTTTTTTAATATATCTTAAAAAACACATTTTACTATCCCCAAATAAATTCAAACCTTAGTAATTGAATTCTAAGTGATCAATTTACTAATGCAACGCACAGGTTACGGTCTCTAGTTAAATTTTACGAACTACAATAGGTATTAAATAGGGGTAGATACAAAATATAGAAAAAATTTCAGACTGAATTGGTTAAGTTAATTTAATTGATCTGTGAGAATTAACTAAGCAGCTATAAAAATATGAGAAAATTTAAGGTAGAGCGTCGAAATATAGAAACCGTCATTTTCTTTTATGTTAGCTCCTAAATTTGTTATTTATATCTGTCGAGTTTATAGAAAAAACAAGTGCATATACACATTTTAATAACTAACAATGACAAAATAATAAGTATCTATATTTTATAGGTGAATTTATAGGTGTATATATGCATTTTAACAATTAACAATAGTCAAATAACAAGTTTTCATATAAAAATTTACGAATCTTAATTTATATTATAAGAGTTGATACAAAAATTCACAAGTTTTCATAGATCAATTTATAAGTACACATACACAATTTAACAACTAACAATAACAAAATAATAAGTATAATTATAGAACTTGACCCAATAAATATGAGCAATTTGATCCAAGTTTTATCCTTTTAATTTCTACGTCTTATATAAGTTATTAAAAATTTAAAGTGATTTTTCTTAACTTTTCGATTTTGCTCAAAATTTCAGTATTGGTTAAAATTGAGTGATAGCTTTTTCATTTTTCTGACAGGAAACAATTGAGTGATAGTTAGCGAAACCAAAAGAGTGACTCAACGCCACTATGCTCACCTCAAAAGGATGGTAACTGTTGTGCTAGAGTTATAGATATTGAGTTAATGTATTAATGTTCTAGTCTGTATAAGTTTGCTGTTTTGATTGGGCTAGCATACACCCAAAGCCCAAATAGTCTTCTTGTTGTGGGTCAAAGCAATATACTGTGTATATATATTTTCTTGAGTTATCAATAAAGTGAAGTTTTCTCCCAGCATCTCTTGGGCCAGTTCACTCTGTTTACATGGTACCAAGAGCCAGGCTGTTTCTTCAGGCTCAAGACTCTTTGTATGCTATGTTGAGGCAGTCCAAAATTCCTCACCGTCGTGAAGCCTTCAGTGCTAAACGCACAGTTCAGATTCAGTCCCAAATGCAACAATGTCGTTGCATGTGATCAGATATAAGAACATTGATTCGAGAGATCTAAAAGGTGTTTCCCATTTGCCCCAAAATTGCCGAGCTGATGCTTTGATCCGGAGGTTTCGTCTCTCGAATCTCTGATTTTTTCGTCAAAATTTGTGGGATAGGGACGAATCTTGGACGAGTTTCCGTTCAAGATTCTCAGCAATTGGTATAACAAACTTCAAATTCTTCTGAGTTCTCTACAAATCAGTGGCTTTGTCCGCAATATTGATTGACCTGTCAAGCGAGTTCTAACATTTCTGCTGTCAAGAAAAGTGGTTGATCGTGAGAGTTTCATCATTTCTACTGTTAAGAACACTACTTGATCGTGGTTTGGTTTCGTTCATCTATTGAAATTTCACTTGTTATTCTTCTTTCTTTCACCCTGTCACTTCTTGCTCATCTTCTGCGACGATCTTGAAATTCCCTCTAAAAGAATTCTACCAATGGCCACACAAATCGATTCCAACCATCCCCTTTACTTATACCCTTCAGACACCCAGGAAGTAACATTAGTCCTACAAGTTTTGATAGGTTTTGGAAATTCTGTAATATGGAGCCGTGTGATGTGTTTAGCTCTTCGTGGTAAAAATAAGTTGGGTTTTATTGATGGTACCTATTGCTGTGAGAAAGTATCAGAATTTTCCCAACAGTGGGATTGTTGTAACGCTGTCGTGTTGTCATGGCTCATCAATTCTGTAGAAAAGGATATGGTTTGGTGTTTTCTGATAGTGCACACCTCGTTTGGCTTGATCTTCAAGAGTGTTTTCTTAAGACAGATGGTACAAAATATTCTCTTTGTACAAAGCAATTTCATCACTCACTCAAGGCACACTCACAATGGCAAGCTATTTCACAAAACTGAAGGAGCTATGGGATAAACTTTTAGTGTTGGTTCCTCTTCCTACATGCAAGTGTTCTACTGCCTAAGAGTATAATAAAGTTGTCCAGCAACAATGTCTATTTCAATTCCTTATGGGACTTAACGCCACCTTTCACCAACCAAGATCACAGATACTCCTCATGACACCAGTCCCTACTGTGTCTCAAGCTTATTCAATGATATGTCAGGATAAGGAGCAGCGTATGATCTGTTCATAGATTCCTACAAATCCACTTCACACTATTGCAGCCTCCACTAGAGGTGGTCGTTCTGGTAGAGGCAGAGGTGGAGGTCGGTCTCAAGAAGAATGTACCCAGTGCCATAGACGGGGGCATACTTGTGATTAATGTTATAAGCTTGTTGGGTTTCCCTCCAACTTCAAAGGCAGAAAGGCACAAGCTGCTAACCTGAATCATGAACAGGACGAGCAAAAAGAATCAAAATCAAGCTCGACAAATGGTCAACAGTCCATAACTGAACAACAATATAATCAAATCTTACAATTACTGAAGAAGGACTCCAAGGATGAGACATTAGGAGCAGCCAATTATATCGAAGAACATGTGTCTGGTATGCTTAACGCCTTACCTCTTTCATTATGTAAGACTCATTGGATACTCGATTCTGGTACTACACGTCATGTAATTAGTAGCTTAACCATATTGGATACTGCCCATGTGTATAATGGTCATCTTAGAAAAATTCAGATGCCAAATGGTTTGAAAATCATTGTTACACACACTGGAACAATCAAATTATCTAAGAACATAACACTTACTTATGTCTATTACACTCCTGAATGTTGCTATAACCTAATTTCAGTCTCTAGCTTAACTAAAGAAATGCAATGTATCATGTCTTTTTACCCTGAATTTTGTACTTTGCAGGAGAGTTTAACTAGGAGATCTCAAGTGATTGGTAGAATCACTAATGGAATGTACTTAATTGGAAAAGCCTTAAGACTAGACACAATTATGAGTTTTTAATCTAGTGAGAAAAGTGAGCAACTTTTAGAATTATGGCATAAGCGCCTAGGTCATGCACCCTTAGACATTTTGAAACACTTAGAGTCTATAAGGAAAGATATCATAGATTTCCCAAGAAATAAATGTATTGTTTGTTCTCAAGCCAAACAAACTAGGCTTCCTTTTTCTTTTTCCATGTCTAATACTTCTTCATTTGAGTTGTTGCATGTTCATGTTTGGGGACCCTATAAGGATCCCACTTATAGAGGGCATCAATATTTCCTTACAGTGGATGATGACTATTCTAAGTGTACTTGGATTTTTCTGTTGGTCAATAAAAATGAGAGCATGCAATGCTTAAAGAACTTCGTAGCCTATGTTTCTAATTAGTTTTCTATTATTGTCAAGACAATCAGATCAGATAATGGTTTGGAACTTGTAAATAATCAATTAAGGAATTTTTTTAATAAGAAAGGGATAATCCATGAGCCTACTTGTCCTTATACACCACAACAAAATGGTGTTGTAGAGAGAAAACACATACATTTACTAAATGTTGGTAGAAGTCTCATAATTCTTTCTGGCATTCTTGTTAAATTCTAGGGAGAGAATATCAAAACTGCTGTCTTTTTAATTAACAGAACTCCCTCTAAAAGTTTAGGGTATAAAACACCCTATGAAATTCTTCATAACAAGTGCCCGGATTTAAGTTTCCTTAAGGTTTTTGGTTGTCTTGCTTTTTCATCTACTCCTAATAATCATGATAAGTTTTCCCCTCGTTTTGAACTGTGTATTTTCCTGGGTTATCCTCCAAATCAAAAGGATTTCTTGCTGTACAATTTAAAAACAAAGAATATTCTTGTTAGTAGGGATACCCAATTTATAGAAGATAGATTCCCCCTTAAGGATGTGGATGATAACAATCTAAGGGGGGTTTCTAGACCTGTCCAAGACTATTTTTTAATATAATACTAGTGATTTTCCTTCCCACACGGAACTGTTAATCACCAAATCAATCAGGACCTTCACGACACTACTATAGATCCTGAAATTCCTGGCAATAAGACTAATGTTGACATTGAGCAGCATCTACACAGACATGTAAGAAACACAAGGCCCCTTTCTTGGCTAAATGATTATATTTGCATCACTGATACAGCTTTAATGTCTCAAGTAAAAGCCAAATGTAAGTATCCTATCCATGAATACATTTCCTATGCTCATATATCTCTATCTCACAAACATTACTTGTTCTTTACTGGTCAAATCTCTAAGCCATGTAGCTTCCATGAAGATGCCAAGGACACTAATCTGATGGATACTATGAAGCAAGAGATGGATGCCTTAGAACTCAATCAAACTTGGAACATAGTGGACCTTCCAAAAGGCAAGAAACTCACTAGATGCAAGTGGGTCTTAAAGGTCAAGTATGGCCCCACTGGTAAGGTTGAAAGGTATAAGGCAAGACTAGTTGCTAAAGGCTATAGCTAGCAAGAGGGTATTGATTATTTTGAGACTTTTTTCCCAGTTACTAAGATGGTTACAGTTCGTTCTGTTCTTTCCCTTGCTATCTGTAATGTTGGCATCTATATCACATGGATGTCAACAATGCATTCCTTCATGGAGACTTGCATGAAGAAGTTTATATGCAAATTCTGTAGGGATTTGATCAGTTTGGGGGGAACAAAGTATGCAAATTGCTCAAATCCCTCTATGGCCTCAAGCAAGTCTCTAGGCAATGGAATGCCAAACTCACTGAAACTCTTATATAGGGGGGGTTTAGACAAAGCAAGTATGACTACTCTTTATTTGATAAAAGAGATAAAGAGGAAATTACTATTATTTTAGCATACGTTGATGATCTTGTGATTGCTGGAAATAGTCTTGATAGAATTAATGAAACCAAACTACATTTGCACAAAAAATTCAAAATTAAAGATTTAGGACTACTAAAATACTTCCTTGGTTTAGGATTAGCAAGGTCTGCAAAGGGTATTGTTCTCAGTCATAGAAAATATATTTTGGATCTCATTTCTAATACAGGTTCAAGTGGTTCCAAACCACTAACAGTTTCTATGGAGAGAAGTACCAGATTGAGTTCTGCAAGCACTAATCCAATCATTAAGAAAAGGACAAGATAGGAACAGAAAAATGCCAAGGACAATGATCCCCTCTTATGGGATCCTTTATCCTATCGCAGATTAGTAGGTAGGTTATCATATCTTACTGTTACAAGGCCTGATATTATGTTTTATTGTGCAGACTTTTAGCCAATTTATGAGCAATCCAAGAAAATTAGACATGGGAGCTGCTGTTCATGTAGTGAGATATTTGAAAAACAGTCCAGGATTGGGGATATTGTTGGCTGCAACTTCCAGAAGATATCTAAAGTGTTATGTGGATTCTGACTGGGCCACATGTCATGATACAAGAAGATCATTAACAGGATATGTCATCAAGTTTGGTGGGTCCCCCATATGTTGGAAGTCAAAGAAATAACATACCGTGTCAAGGTCTTTAGTAGAAGCAGAGTATCGGGCTATGGGTATAGCTGTTTCAGAAATAACTTTGTTGACTCAGATGTTAGGAGATCTGGGAGTGAAAGGACTTGAACCGGTTAAAGTATATTGTGATAGCAAGGCTGCCATCTATATTGCCACTGACCCTGTCTTCCATGAACAGACAAAGCACATCAAAATTGACTGTCATTTTGTTCGGGAGAAGTTGCAACAAGGGCTTATCAACTTGGAACATGTTAGCTCTAAAGATCAGCTTGTTGATGTGCTCACTAAAGCACTTGGAAGAGAAGATCATAGCAGGTTGATAGGCAAATTGGGAACCATTAATCTTTATGGTCCCCAACTTGATGGGGGGTGTTAGAGTTATAGATATTGAGTTAATGTATTAGTGTTTTGTAGTCTGTATAAGTTTGCGGTTTGGATTGGGCCAGTGTAGGCCCAAAGCCCAAATAGTCTTCTTATTGTGTGTCAAAGCAATGTACTGTGTATATATATTTTCTTGAGTTATCAATAAAGTGTGAGCTTTTCTCCCAGCATCTCTTGGGCCAGTTCGCTTTGTTTACATGTTGCATTTGATAATCATGTTACTTATTAATCATTCCTTGAAAAAGTGAGCACATCAATCCCTAGTCCATCCCATTACTCCAGTCTAGATTTACAACGAAGGACAAAATTACAGCTTTTCAAAATTGACTTTTATTTAGTTTAAGAAAAATGATTAAAAAAACTAAATATTAAACAACAAATATTAACAAAAATTTGTTGTTATTTGTAAATTTAGTATTGTCAATACTAACTAAAGTGTTGTCAGTAAATTGATTTGAGATTTAGTAATTTACAACTCCTTTTTTGTTGTTATTTTTCCTTTAATTTACACGAAGAATGAAATTTTGGCATTATTAATAAGAAAAAATCAATATACAAGTCTCTACAATTTGATTTTATTTTTCATTAAATTCTTATATTTTTTTCTTGGATCCTTATGGATTTCCATAATTATAAGTATGGGTTTCTATGCTAATAATTCATTAATTTGTAAGATAAATGACGTTAGAAGTTTATGATGCGACTCTCACTCATGATACATCTACATCTATTGTAATTTGGAAAAATTACAATCAAATCTTTGAAAAAGAAAAATAATTACTAAAAAATCCTAATAACAACTTAAACAGTTTGTAATAATAAGTTCTAGAATAAGCAATAATAACATCTAAGACTTGTTTCATAATTTTTTCCTTAGGACCTCGTTGTAATTCTCCATATTAATTTTGCCATTTGGATATTAATGAAATCAAAATCATTTAGATTATATATTATATATAGATTTAAGGAGACCCAATTTCAATTTTTTTTACGTTGCATAAAAATAAATTTTATTTTTTAAAAAATCTCTTTTTGATCTTATATTATAATTTATATGGCAACTTAGATATCGCTTAGTCGGCATCCATATCAACTCTAAGTAGCATATTATGGAAATTGAAACTAATGCCCCTAGTCAAAAAACTGTAAGAACCCAATACAAAATTACAAGTATCTAAGTGAAAATCAAGTAAAACTATAAAAACTGATGAATTAATTTCTTCTTAATATAGAATTTAAAATTATTTTGATTACTTTGTCTCTCATATTTATCTTTTTTTTTCAAAGTAGTCATTATAGTAGTTGTACATATTAAATGTTTCATTAAGTGATATATCTATAACTAATACATATAATTAACAAGGGTATTTTAGAAAAAACAATAACTATTTATTACAAATAACTAACATAACAAACTTCTTAAATCTATTTAAATTAGTCAACTAGTTTTTTTTTTGGATATACTAGTCAACTAGTTTTTATATTAAGGACATTATTGTCTAATAGTAGATTTCTCCATAGAAAAATTTCAGCATAATGAAGTCTGTGAATTATCAATATTAATTTTAAAGTGTTATAAATAAAGAAGAATCATACAGAGGAAGAGAGAATCAACAAAAGAGAGTATTTCTCATTCCATTCAAGAGTGTTCAATACATTATACATGGCCTTTATTTGTAAGCACAGATTTACACCTTTGATAGAATCTATAGATTACATAATAATATGAGATAATTGTGGAATATAGAGATAATATGAGATATTAGAGATTATAGGAGATATACGAGATAATGGGAAATATATGGATATCCATAAAGATATTATTATATTCATAATACTTCCCTTTGGATGTCCAATATATATGAATGTATCTCATTAAAAAACTTCAACTAAGAAAAATCCTGTGGGACAAAAACCCAGTGAAAGAAAGAATACATCATTCATTGATACATTATGCAATGCTGCCTCATTAAAAACCTTACTAGGAAAACCCAATAGAACAAAACCATAGACAAGAAAAAAAGAGTACAGCATGTATCAACTCCCCCTTTTGGCAATATCATTTGATATCTTCGAGCCTGTAAAGTCTAATATAATGAACAACCCTTCCAAATATTGTAATAAGATAAAAACGTCAAATATGAATTTCATGATCTTCTAAAAATCATGAGACGAATAGTCCTTTTATGGTTTATCTACACATGGGTCATACTATGATCTCTTGACATGAGGATCAAACAAGAATACTTTATGTATATAGCCATTAAGATTAGTCTTGGATACTTTCAGATAAAATAATATTACCTCCACGGTATCTTTAAAGTAATGAAGAATATTTTTAACTTTATTCCAACATCTTCATGTTGATAAAGAACTATATCATGCTAATCAGCAAATAATAGCTCAAATTCTGTATAGCTAGATAGATATATAAATGCTTCAGTGACACTAAGATATGGTACTTCTGGACCAAGTGTTTATTCATTACCTTCTGGAGGTCTAAATCGATCTTTAGTTCATATCTAAAGATCTTACAACTACTGAAACATATAATGGATGTTGCTTATCCACATAATGGGTGTGACTTATCCATATGTATTCTTCCGAAAGCTTTCATTTCAAACTTTTTCTTTAAGTAATTTGCATCATATAGAGACTTACTTGAATAGTGTTCTTGAGAATATAATTATATGCTTCTAGAAACTTAAATCCTTTAAGGATTTTCATACATTATGATCCATATCTATTCATATATTAGATCGTTTGAATTTATACAAGGATTTGAATCCTTTAGGGATTCATATAAAATTTCACTATAAAGTGAGTCATGCGTTATTCATATATTTCTAAGATGCACATGAAAAAATTTCATTTATTACCAGACTGCCAGATTGATAAGACATAATTTAATCCACCACAAGACTTTATTTCTCTTTATATTGTAAAAATGCCTATTTACATAATACTAGCTTTACATTTCAAGTGCATAGGTCAGCGATACACAAATCCCTGTTACATTGCGTCTTTTCTTTTTTGTTGGCCAACTATTTTTCTGTCTGTATCTCATGACAAATTTATATATAAGATCCTCATTTGATCACATGATATCATCAATAAAATTATTGTCGACAATTTTATTCCTTTATCAGTCCCCTTTTCTTTTATGACATAACATATCGAGATCTCTTTATTGCTTTCAGACACTTAAACCTCTTCAAGGGCCAAACAATTGTATCTTAACCTCTTTTGCAATTCATGCCTCCTTAGTATGATTATCATGATAATTTGCTCCTTTTTCTTTTCTTTTGGAACCGATCATAATCTTATGCTTTTAGCGTGTCTTCAAGAATAGGAGCACTTTTAGCTGGAACATAAGAATTAAGAATCCTCATTTGGGTTAGTAATTGTATCTGGCAGATATTAGTAATGTTTTACGAATGCAATACTTTATGAACTCTTAGTTCATACTGCTATATTTGAGGACCTACATTTGATAGTGAAAATACATTCTATGTGTTTTCTTTTCTAGCTACACATTTCCCCCCCTCATATTAGGAACATGTAATGTAGGTCTTCCAAATCCATAAATTTTCTTTAGAAACATTATTTTGTTTCATTTAGAGACAAACAGGAATAAGAAGATTCTTATCCAACAGTGATCCCAACTTACTTTTAATATCTTTCTATGTGCATTATTGTGGTGGAATAATAGATATTGTACATTCTAAGATGAAAATATCTGGCTCCTGACCAAAAGTAAATTATAATGGGAGAATTCACAATACATTGTTAGCTTGAAAAAATATATATAAAATCAATCATCTCAACACTCAAATGGGAATTCTGTTCTCATAAACTCTGATCTAGCTATTTATGGAGGCTTTTACTAAGTATATAATCATCAGCAACATGAGGAGCAATCACTAGCAATCTCAATGAGAATCATATTGATTTCATAATCAAGAACTTATGTACTCAATGTAATTATCTGAACATATTTACAAACTTCAGATTGCAAGTTGATCATAAACACCTGTGACCATTTTAAGATGCATCTTTCACTTATAGAGTATTATTTTGATCCACAAGGTGTCTAAATGGGCCCATATATAAAGTTGATACATTATAAATCTGCACGGATCCAATTTTAAACATAGCTAGTAATGCTCTCTTATTTAATTGTTTTGAGAACAAACAACACATACAAATTCTCAAATTATATATCATTTTTAAAGAATCTTCTGGTTCTTTAATAAATGACAATACACATTTTTTATGATATTTTGCATCATTATGATCTGGAATGATCTGATCAGTCATGCCAAACTAAAAATACATAAACTTCTGGTTTATTGTAAAATTATTCTCACTTATTAGTAAACCTTTTATTACCATATCATATTATTCATTTTTCATCTTAATATTTCATAAGGAATATGTTATCAATCATGGATTTTATCTTCAGGATAATAAATCATGATATAGCTCTCCTAGAGTCTTATTATTCATCTTTTACTCAATGGTAGAAACTTATACACTCTAGAGGGTCAAGTATCACTGACTCTTCTGGAGCCTTTTACAAAAAAAATATGAGATGTAAGGAATGATATTAATATTAATAATAACAAATTCGTCCATCCAACATAATTCACACTTGTATTTCAACAATCTCCACCTCAAGTATGAGTCATATAAATATATTTTTCTTATTTTTATATTTCAAATAAAGTGAATAGTATATAGTAAGCTAATAACATATCTTTAACTTGGAAATCCAAATGCTTCCTAATTCAAATATAATAATGAATTTCAATCCAATTGCGCTATTACTTTAAGACCCTTTGATAAACAAATATTCTAATATATATCGTTGTTCAAGAAGTAATATATATTGTTTTTTCACTATATGATATACTTTACTCTTTGTTATGTTTTTCCAAAGTATGAAGTGTGTGTGTGTGTGTGTGTATATATATATATTTCTTTTCAAAACATAAATTTTTTTGGATATTTCGTTATTAAAAAACTTTACTTCTTTGTATATATTATGTAATGCTTCAAAACTTATTTATAAATTTATAAATTCAACAAAAATTTGAAAAGATCTACAGAGACTAAAATCAAACTATATAGTTACGAAGATTTAAATCATAGTCCTTTAGGGTTATTT